TCACACACACATGCAACTTCACCCCCCCACACACACGGCTTCACCCCACACACACACACAGCTTCACCCTCACACACACATGCAACTTCACCCCCACACAGACACGCATCTTCACCCCCCACACACATGAGGCTTCACCCCCCCACACACACGCAACTTCACCACCACACACACATATGCAACTTCAACCCCCACACACACACAGCTTCACCCCACATACACACAGGGAACTTCACCCCCACACACGCGCGGCTTCACCCGCACACACACACATGCAACTTCACCCACACACACGTGGCTTCACCCCTCACACACATGCAACTTCACACACACATGCGGCTTCAACCCCCCCACACACCCCGCAACTTCACACAGACACACACGCGTCTTCACCCCTACAGACACGTGGCTTCACCCCCCCACACACACACGCAAGGCTTCACCCTCACACACACATGTCGCTTTACCCACACACACGTGGCTTCACCCACACACACACGTGGCTTCATCCCTCCACACACATAGCTTCATCCCCACACACACGACTTCACCCACACACACGCGGCTTCATACACACGCCACACACACGCACAGCTTCACCCCTCCACACACACACACACAGCTTCACCCCCACACACGCAGCTTCACCCGCATGGGTTCTGAAGGCTCGGCCTGACCTCTGCAGCATCCGGTTCCCGAAGCATGTCAGGCCACCCAGTCCCCCGCAGACAGGAGGTGTCGAGGCACAGAAGATGAGCCGCTGGTGCTCTAGGGGAGTGGTTGTGTATAGAGACGCCTTGGCCTGCAGGGACAGTGCCTTTTCTCCTGGAAAGATGCCTGCCTCCCACTGTGACTATTAGAGGGGCCTCACCTATTTTACTGTAGATTTGTCACCAGTCATACGTCCAGCCTTCTCCCATGGCAGCCCCCATGGGATGAGAGCCCAGCCTTGGGCCCAATGACTGTGGCGTAAATCTGCCAAGGGACCATAGGTGCAGTTCTTAACCTCTGAGCCTCAGTTTCCCTTTCTGGTTGGCCTGAGGGTTGGGTGTGTGCCTGTGTGTCGGGTGCCAGCCCACAGCAGCTACTGGTGCACAGAGCCACACCCTCACAGCTGCCCGGCAACATGGGCTCTGTCCTCCCGTCCTTGTGCCTGAGGCCTCACAGCTGGGACTTGAACCCGGCAGCCCGCAGTCCTGTCTTACCCACTGCCTTGAGGCCCTGGATGCTGCTGGTGTGGATCATGTGCGTGGCTGGGCTGTAGGGGGTGGGTGGTGGCTGTTCCAGGTGGGCGGTCTCTCCGGAAAGCGCAGGCTGGATTGGGATGTGTGGAAGATGGAGGAAGGGCGTCTAGACAGGTGACAGGCAGCTTGTCTGGAGTGCAGGCTGAGTGAAGGGGAGACAGTCCAAGCATCAGGGGGTGTCCCAGTCAGCTGCACTGTCAGCAGGAGCATAGAGCCCACTGTGGGGCATCAGCAGCACCAGCTTCTCCCCACAGCTCAGCTTCCCACTGATGTGTTTCCATGGCAGACACAGTTACCTACGGGAAATGGACACAGAGGCTCCCCAGGGCACATGGCCTCCCTGAGAGAGGAGGCAGACACGTTTGGAATCAGAGACAAGCGTCTGGTGCAGCATGCAGGGAGCCCGTCACCCTGCCACCCCACCATAGAGCTCCGTGGGTCGTCTGGGCATGGCGCCGCGCAGCAGCCAGACCAGTAGCCTGGGGACGCCTTGGCCAGCCTCCAGGAGCTTTGGAGCAGCCCCTGTTGTTTGGCAAGCAGGGCGGCCTGAGCACGGCAGGGGATGTGGGCTCAGTACCAGGGCCAGCTCGTGGTGTGAGGACAGATCCTCCTCAACAAGTAGAGCCACAGCCTGGCTCCAAGTGCGTGGCCAGGCTGGGAGGAGTGTACAGGTAGTCTCTGTACCTTCTGCTCAATTCTTCTGGAAGCCTAAAGCTGCTCTGAAAAATAAAGCCTATTACTTCTTTAAAAGTCTGCTTACCTGGGGCCTGGGACTTTACAGGTGAGGGAAGAAGGACCAGCCCTGGAAGGAGGAAGCTCAGAGCCACCTGTGGACCCTGAGGGTGCATCTGTGGGTGCCTAAGTATCACTGGGGAGCAGAGACCCCAGACCTTTTACGATGCTGGGTGGGGCAGCCATGGAACTGCACAGGTGAGGAGGAGGGGCCTCTCACTCTCCAGGAGACTGCAAACCAAGAACGTCTATGAGACGAGCAGACACCAGAATACAGATTCACCCTAAATAAAGTTGATTTCATGGGAAAAGCTGACAGACTTTAAGTATGTTTAAATTGCTCAAAGTGATAAGTGAAAGATAGGGTTCATTAAAAATGTTATTCAATTAAAACAGAAATAAAGCAAGAAAAGGGAATATGAAGAAGAACCTGTAGAAACAGTAAACATTCTGCATTAGAAATTACAGAACAGATTCTAGACTAGATGTGGTCAAAGAGAGAATCAGAGAATTAGACAATGTCATCAAGGAGTTCATCTAAACATAGCCAAGACAGACAAAGATTTGTGTGTGTTTGGTTGTTTGTATGTTTTTTATTTTTATAGGAAAGAGCAGTTAAAAGACATAAAGACTATTAAGAGGCTCAGATACACCCAAAGTAAATTCCAGAAAGAAGCAATGGGGAGCAGTGGTGGAAGTGATAAGGGGAAATTTTTAGAAATTTAATTCCCCAGCACAATTTGGACACAGAGCAGGATATATAAAAATAAACCCGTACCTGCATGGCATTCAAGCTTCAGAATATTGATGACAAAGAGAAAAACTTTAAAACAGCCGGAGAGAGGAAAACGTACATTCAGAGGATTCACAGTTTGTGTGCTGGGTGCCGCTTACAGCAGTGGTGGATCCAGAGCGCAGGGGAAGAACGCAGTGTGTGGGAAGGGTTGACTGGCTTCAGCATCACCCCCATCAGCGTGTGGGGCTTGGAATTTCCCTTCTTGAGCATGGGTGGGAGCACTTAGGGAGGGGGCAGGGAGCGCTTGAGGTGGGGGCAGGCAAAGAAGGGCCTCACACCTGGGAATCCACAGCCCTAGAGCCCTGCCCAGGAGGGAGCTGGGGGGGGATGCTGTGCTAGAGGGAGACGGGGAGAAGGAGACGGGGCTGCAGGGGCCACTGTGCCACCAGGTGCCACCAAGGCCAGGTGAGATGAAGGGCGAGTGTCTGTAGGAGTTTGCCTGTGGAGGCTGTGGTGACCTTGCAGAGAGCATTTGGGCAGCTGTTGTCCGGCACGTACGCATACTGGGGGAGCCAAGGGGTTCGGTGGCCCGTGGGGAGGTGGGGTCAAAGGGAGAGCCTCTGACCTCTGCACTCTCTGTGTTAGATAGAGGGAGTGCGCCATGCCGGACCCTTCCTTCACGGGTGTTTCGTCCGCAGTTAACTCCAGATTCCCATCTGCTTTCATCTCCTCGGCAGACCTCAGGGCGTGATGGAGGAGACGGGGTCTTCCCTGACCTGTTTTCCTTCTCCACCAGCCCGCGAGCACCAAGAACACCAGCCCCTGTCCACCGTCTGCCCCCGATGGTGCCAGGCCTGTGGCTGCTGCTGGGAACGGAATGGGTGGTGCCCTGCCCTGGTGGCTGCCATTCCCCCGCCACTGCCTGAAGCGCTTTGCTTTTTGGACCTTGGACTCGACTCTGTCAGCCTCCTCCCAGTGCCTTCTGTGATTTTCAAGGGTTTCCCAAGAGGCCTAGGCTGTGAAGCTACCTGTTCTGCATGGCTGTTTAAATTAAAATTAATGCAGATAAAGTGGAATCTAAAATTCAGTTCTTGAGTCACACACTTCGCATGCTCAGTGGCCGTGGTGGCTGGCCACTGCTGTACTGGGTGGCCCAGCAGAGGAACCTGCTGTGGTGGGAGGTGGGAGGACAGGAGGGCCTCCATGCCATCTCGAGGGGAGCCCTGCCACCTCTTAAAGAACCCCCCTCTTTGGACTTTCATGCCGGTGACTGTTTCACCTTGAATTTGAGGAGTACTTTCAGACCAGAGCTCAGGCTCCACGATCGGTGGCTCTGCTGGGTGGTGGGGATCAGTGCGCGGCATCGGTGGGTGGGAGGTATTGGTGGGTGTGCGGCATCGGTGGGTGGGAGGCGTCGGTGGGTGGGAGGCGTCGGTGGGTGGGAGGCATCAGTGGGTGATGGGGATCAGTGCGCGGCATCGGTGGGTGGGCGGCATCAGCGGGTGGGAGGCATCGGTGGGTGGGCGGCATCAGTGGGTGGTGGGGATCAATGAGAGGCCACACACAGTCTTAGGGTGGGCAGCTTACCCACTGTCCAGGACGCCTGGCTGGGTGCAGCTACTCACGTCTTCCCTGTGGTCCAGCCGAGGGCGGCCCTGTGTGCCTTGAGCTCCCTGCTCAGCGAGCATCTGTGGTGACTGGTTTCCCTGCATCTGCTCTCACACCGGGGCACGGGGCTCACAAGCAGCAGGCTGGCATGTTTCTTCATATCTTCCCCCCGCCCACCCCAGGCTGAGCATCACCAGCCCCTGCAGGCGTCTCTGTGCAAAGCCCCACTTGAGGACGGGTGCACAGCTCAGTTTTCTGTAGCACGGCACCATCAGTGCTGAAAGAACACTGCTGTTTTTCAGTTGGAAAGCGTCTCCTGTGTCCCTTAGGTGTGTGGGACCCACGTGTTGCTCTTGCCTGCTTACTCCGGCTCATTCATGTGACGTGTTTATTTTTCAGTGCAAATGGTCAAGAAAAGGCTTCATCCGGACAAGGTGGTGCATTGCAGACTGGTACGTGGTGTCTCTCTCTGCTTTGTCAATTTCCATAACGTTTCTTACACTTTTATATCTTGCACAAGCGGTGTGTTCCCTCACACCTCATTGGAGGCTCTACTGATTTTGTGTGAGGACCCCCAGCTGCCTGACCCCCACCTGCCACTCTGACCTTTTTTGTTCACAGCGATGCATTTGGAGCATTGTCACTGTTCCCTGTAAGTCAAACATCTGGGTGCCCAGTGCCCGTGGAGACACAGTGACGGCCCCAGTCCCTCCCCACAGCTGGAGAGTTCTGCTGGCCAGAGCCCGCTGCACAGGGAAGTCAGCAGGGAGGCCCCCTAGTACCGGCACCCCGTGGCTGCCCAGTGAGATGGTGTAAGAGCCGCCTGGCAGCCTGGTCTACCAGCAGGCCGAGCACAGACGTAGCGGAGCCTGTGTCTCATCCACGTATCCTCCGGCCTGGCCTTTCTGTGGTGAAGACGTTCTCGATAGCGCCGCCCCACCTTTTCTGCATGATAAGAAACAGAAACCTGTTATCTGCTTTCCTAAGGTGGCTTCCAGGTGGCTCCCCAGCCTGTCCCTCCAGCCATCACATCTCATTTGAATACTGTTTTTATTTTCCTCTCATGGATTTTCCAAAACTTCACTGCCTGATTATCTGCTGCTGTGTAACAGATCGCCCTAAACTTAGCAGCTTTAAAAAACACGTACGAGGCCGGGCGCGGTGGCTCACACCTGTAATCCCAGCACTTTGGGAGGCCAAGATGGGTGGATCACAAGGTCAGGAGATCGAGACCATCCTGGCTAACCCGGGGAAACCCCATCTCTACTAAAAATACAAAATTTAGCCGGGCGCGGTGGCGGGCGCCTGTAGTCCCAGCTACACGGGAGGCTGAGGCAGGAGAATGGCGGGAACCCGGGAGGCGGAGCTTGCAGTGAGTGGAGATTGCGCCACTGCACTCCAGCCTGGGCAACAGAGCGAGACTCCATCTCAAAAAAAACAAAAAAAACAAAAAAAAAACCACGTACGAGGTCATGGCTGTGAGCGTCTCAGGACCCAGGAGTGGCTTTTCTGGGGCTCTGGCCCTGGTCACCCTGGGGCTTCCAGAGGACCCATCTCCAAGCCCACTGGGGCTGTGGGTTTCTGCCCCTCCCTTCGAGCCTCTCCCTGGGGCTGCTCAGGGCAGGACATCCCCAGGAGGAGTCCAGAGAGTGAGGGGGATGGAGGGAGGCAGGGGGAGGCTGGGGAGAAGGGAGGGGGAGGGGGAGGAGGAGAGAAGGGGAGAGGGAGGGGGAAAAGAAGGAGGTGGGGGAAGAGTGAGAGAGAAGGGTAGGAGAGGAGAGTGGGGAGGGGGAGGGGAGGAGAGGAGGAGGGAGGAAGGAGGGGAGAGAAAGAGGAAGAGGAGGGAGGAGAGGAGGAGGGAGGAAGGAGGGGAGAGAAAGAGGAAGAGGAGGGAGGGGGAGGACAGAGGTTGCTGAGAAGGAGCCGTGGTCCTGTGCCTACCCCAGACAGTGCGGGCTGCCAGGCCGCCCTTTGCTTTTGGTCACAGGGAACAGTCTTGGCATGGTGTGGGGGCACACGGGGCACGTTCACCAGGCAGCGTCACTGGGGTCACTGTGGCAGCTGGACCACAGGCTGAAGGAGGGCAAGGCCTCCTGCACACGCTCATTCCTGGTGCCTCCTGGTAGGGAGACAGGGCTGGGTCTTGGAGCCTGTGGAGGACATGTGGGCTGTGAGGGCTTTGTGGGACAGTGTCCAGACCGTGCCGAGCCCTGCACTGACCTTCCCTGGTGAGGGGACACGTCCTTGCCAGCTGAAGGTGCTGAGGGTCCCCTGCAGTGTGACAGAGGCCCAGGCCTTGATCAGGCCCTGCCAAGTCCACGTGCCTGGAGGCCAGTAGCCGGCCGACGGGGCTTCCCAAGGGTCTTCCCTTTGGGAGTGAAATGAGGCACTCTTCTCGCCTGTCCCTGTGCCGTCCACCCTGCCTTACGGGGTCCCCGATGGGTGCAGCCGGCAGCCCTGGGCAGCTGAGGCTGAGGCTGAGGGGTGGCCCTTCCTCTTAGCTTAGCCATCAGGGAGAGTTTCCAGAGTCACCTGTAGTTTTTCTCTTTCAAGAAAAATAGCTCACTTTTTAGTTGCCCAGAGTAACTGCATTTGTAAAGATGTATTCAGACTTCGCTGGAGGTTTCCTGTCCACTGGCCTTGTCGGCAGACAGGTGGGTGGACAGGTGCCCGGCCTCGGGTGGCTCCGCACGGCGGGGGCCAGTGCAGGTCTCACCCTCCCGGGGCTCCTTGGGAGAATGAGGTGTGACCCGGAGGCTCCGGCCCTTAGTGACGTGTCCTTTTCTCTTTTGGTTGTAGTGCCTTTGACTTGGTGAATATCCATCTTTTCCATGATGCTTCCAATCTGGTCGCCTGGGAAACAAGCCCTTCCGTGTACTCGGGAATCCGGCACAAGGCACTGGGCTACGTGCTGGACAGGTGGGTGTGGGCCGGCAGGTAGGTGTGCTAGGCAGGTGGGTGTGGGTGGACAGGTGGGTGGGGTGGGCAGGTTGGTGTGGATGGAGAGGTAGGTGTGGGTGGGCAGGCAGGTGTGAGTGGAGAGATAGGTATGGGTGGGCAGGTAGGTGTGCTGGGCAGGCAGGTGTGCTGGGCAGGTATAGGTATGGGTGGAGAGGTAATTGTGGGTGGACAGGTGGGTGGGTGGGCAGGTCGGTGTGTCCACCCACCCCTGTTGGCCACTGGAAAGGCTGTGCCCGCTCTGGGAGACACACTCTGCTCTGTGCTTGCTGATTTGCTGATGGCCCTTACTGAAGTTGCCCCATGGAGGTGGCAGAGCCCCCAAGCCCTGTCCACAGGCTGGAGCTGCACCCTCACCATGGACTTGGATGGGGATGGCTTCACTTTCTCTCTGAGTTTTTTGTGGGGAAGATGAGAAAACGGTGCCATGGGGTGCTGTGGTGGGAGGTGAATAGGACACTGAAGAGTCAGTGGGAGCGTGGGGGCCACCTCCACCTGTGCCTGGGCCCCTGCCCCCCAGTGCTCCAGGCCGCTCCACCGGTGATGCTGTGGAGATGACGGCTGTCACTGGGCAGCAGGGGACCCCCATTGGTGGGATGTGTCTGATCTTGGGACCCGTGTCCCTCCCCATCTACAGCTGGGCCTTTTGCTGAAGCTCAGGCCCCACAGCCAGGCGGCCTGGGTTTATTCTCTGCCTGTTCCAGTTAGGCCCCATATGGAAACCTTTCCCGCCAGCACCCCCATGGTTGACAAGACAGTGCTCCATCAGCTTGGGCTTGCATCAGTGACGAACACAGGCCTGAGAGCGTACTGTGTTCGTCACCCCAGGGTGGTCCCTGATTTCCACCTGAACCCCATTCTGCTCCCCAGAGGGCCCCTGACCTGAACCCCTGCCCGGCCCCCGCGCGTGCAGAATGCCGAGTTGCACTCCCGAATAAGCTGCGAGGGCCTGGAGCTGCCCTGCACCTCGCTGGCCTTCCAGCAGCTAGCCTCCTCAGACCCCGACCTTCTGTTCCTGGGGCCAGCCCCTCCCACCCACACCTGCCTCACCCTGGGCTTGTGCCGAGCAGAAGGACTGAGTCATTCCCAGGCCACCACCATTCCTGGGGCACTCACAACTGCCTGGGGCTGCACAGGCAGAGGCAGGAATTGGGGGGGCACTGAGGTCTGAACCCAGAGAGGGAGGAGGCTGGGCAGGGCCTAGTACTCTCTGAGTCTTTGGGAGGCTTCCTGGGGAAGACAGTGGGAGGGGCAGTCCATGTGGAGGGGGACATGGGTGGGGCCTCTGCCCCTGAGTCATGTGTGGTATGTGGCCAGCGCCATCAGATTCTCAAGAGCAGGAGTGGGAGAGTCCTGTGAGAGGCATCCCCTGGGGACTGTGTGGAGTACATTTCTACCCAAGCAAGCCCCGTGTCCTGAAGGGTCCCTAAGGCAGGTGGGGTCATGAAGGAGAACAGCAGCCAGCAGGTCCCTGCCTCCTAACAGCGCCTTTTAAGGATAGTGTTCAGTTAGCATGTGTGTGCCTGTGCTTGCATGCATGCACCCACACACGCATACACCTGCACACATGCACCCACATACACCTGCACTCACATGCACCCACATACACCCGCACTCACATGCACCCACACACGCATACACCCACACTCACATGCACCGACACACGCATATACCTGCACTCACAAGCACCCACACATGCATACACCTGCATACACCCACACTCATATGCACTGAGTGTACACACCTTGTGTGCATGCAATTATGCATGTGTATGATTTTGTGTGTCTGCATACATGTACATGCATGTGCATGTATGAGCATTTGTGGGGGTTGTGTGGGGGTGGGTGTGCGTGCATCTGCACGTGTATGTGTTCGTGTGTGCATGTGTGTGTGCATTTGTGGATGCTGGTGTGTGCATGTGTGGGTGCATGAGTGCATATATATGTGTGTGCACACGTGTGGGTGTGTGTGGGTGCATGTGTGGTGTGGGTATGTGTGTGGGTACATGTCTATTTGGGTGTGTGCATGCTTGCAGGGGTGTGTGGGGGTTGCATTGTGTGTGCACACATGGGCACATGTGAGTGCACTTGTGTGGGTACATGAGAGTACGGGTGTATGTGAGTGTGGGTGTATGCATGTGTGGATGCATGGGAGTGCGGGTGTATGCGGGTGTGGGTGCATGTGGGTGTATGCAGGTGTGGGTGCATGTGTGGTGTGGATGTGTGTGGGTACATGTCTGGGTGTGTGCACGCCTGCAGGGGTGTGGTGGTTGTATTGTGTGTGCATACGTGGGCACATGTGATTGCACTTGTGTGGGTGCATGTGAGTACGGGTGTGAGTGCAGGTGTATGCATGTGTGGATGCATGTGAGTATGGGTGTATGTGAGTGTGGGTGTATGTGGGTGTGGGTGCATGTGAGTGTGGGTGTATGCAGGTGTATGCATGTGTGGGTGCTTGCGAGTGCGGGTATATGCGTGTGTCAGTGCATGTGAGTGTGGGTGTATGCGTGTGTGGGTGCATGTGAGTGCGGGTGTATGTGGGTGCATGTGAGTGCAGGTGTATGTGGGTGCATGTGTGCAGGTGTATGCGTGTGTGGGTGCGAGTGTGGGTGCATGAATGTATGGGTGCCTGTGTGTGGGTGGCTTCATGTGCATATGTGCATGTGTCTTGCTTGTGTGGCTGTGTGTGGGTGCGTGCGTGTAGGTGCATGTATCTGCGTATTTGGATGTGTGCAGGGGTGCACTGATGCATGTGTGCATGCATGTGGGGGGGCTTATGTATAGGTGCATATGTGTACACTTGTGTGGGGGTACATGTGTGGATGTGTATGCGTGTGTGGGTGTGCATGTGCCTCAGAGTGTGCATGTGTGTGGGTGTGTGCATGCATGGGTGTGGGCGTGTAGGTGTGTGTGGGTGCATGCGGATCTGTGTGGATGCATGTGTGCTAGGGTGTATGCGTGTGTGTGTGCATGTGGGTGTGTGTGTGCATGTGGGTGTGTGTAAAGGTGTGTATATGTGGGGGGAGCATGTGCACCTGGGTGTGGATATGTGTGCAGGTACGTGTGGGTATGTGTGCATGCAGGTTGTGGGTGTGTGGAGTGCATCTGTGGGTGTGTGCACGTGTGTGTGTGCGGGTGTGGGTGTGCACACATGTGTGCACAGGTGTAGGTGCGTGTGCACGTAAGTGTGTACCTGTCATAGCTCAGCACTGTGCATCCTGAGGAAGGGGTGGAAGGCTGGATTCTCCAGTGGGTGCTGCTCCAGGGGGAGCTGGAGCTGGTGGGGCCCCTCCTGAGCGCTGGCTCCGTCTGCTGCTGTGGAGAGTGTGGCCTGCATGGCTCCTTGCCTGCTGCCTTCACGATCCTCCCAGGTTCCCCACAGGGCTCTGCACAAGGAGTCTGGGGTGGGCCCCCATCCCTGTGCTGTTATTAGCAGGTATATGGCCGTGGTTCTCCTCTGCATCTGGCCCCTGCTGAGGGCCCTGAGTCGTGGCCCCTTATCCCCTCTGACCGCCCCTGACCTCCGTCTCCAGAGTGATGGAGCCCTGGTTCCCTGCCACTAGCCTGGTCGAAGAAGAGGGGTGGCAAATGCAGGGCTTGGGTGCCGCTGTGCTCGTGGCCACGTTCTGAGGCCGGCCCTCAGCCCTGTGCACGGCCACGCCCTCTGCAGGGGACCTGTCCGGCCTCCCGGGTATCTCTGGAGCTGGCACTGATACCGAGGCAGGGACAGGTCTGAGCCCGGGGACTGTGCTCTCGACCGCCCACTGTGGGGAAGCAGCACAGGTGGGGGATGGGGGCCTGGGGCTTTGTCAGCCACAAAGTGACTGATGACCGCCTGTGCCCTGGGCGCCCTCCCTGGACAGCATATCAGTCGCCCAGGGAGAAGGGCCTCACCCACAGGAGCGGCGCGGTTCTTCCTGCCTGATCAGCCCTCAGCTTCCAGGCCCCAAGCGTCTCGGGGACCTCCCACGGAGCCCCGGAGCAGGGAGGGCCCTGGCGTGTCTGCTGTTGGGTCTTGGTGACAGCGGTTAGGTTGTCAGCATGGCATGGCATTAAAATGTGTCATCGCCCCTTGCTGCCATGGCTCCGCGGCCTCAAGAAAGCAGCCTTTGGGCTTTTGGGCCACTTTTCTGCGTCTCTGCATTCCCATGAATGGCTCCTGCGGCGCGCTCAGCCAGCCGCAGATCCGGACCTCCGCGGCGTGGGGCGGGCCGCGCAGCACAAAGGGAGGCTCTGTCGGAGTCGGGAACAATGGGCCGCCCTTTCACCGCTGCTGCTAACCTCTTGGCAGCCACCAGCAGACCGCATTCTGCTGTGCGGATCGGGCAGGACAATGCCGCGCGGCCTCTGAATGGACGCTGCCACCAGCGGGGCCCCATTCAGGGCGTTGGGAACCGGGCGCACATTGTCTGCCCCGCAGGGAGACAGCGAGGAGGCTCCTGCAGCCTCTTCCTGGTTTAATCTCCCGGCGCGGCTTCCCAGGTCCGTGTCCCTATCAGCTGCAGGGCCGGCAGCGCCAGGCCCAGGAGGGAGGGCGGTTCCCAGCCCTGGAGGAGGGTGCCGGCGGGGTTAAAACCCAGAGGCACCAGTAGGACCTTCACACCATTCCTCTAAACCTAAAGTCATTCCAGAGTAGGAAGATGATTGTAAAACAACTGAGAGACAAACTCCGAGTTCAGGTCTTCAGAAGCGGCCCCAGGGCAAGTGCTGCGGGGTGCCTGCCACCACCACACCGGTCCCAGGGCTGCCGGTCAGGGCTCTGCCGGACTTCTTATCACAGATGCGAACCTTTACTTTTTTGTGTGTAATTTTTGAAATTGTTGCTGTCAACCTCTTGTTATGAGAAGTTTAAAAAGTAGACAAACCCCTAATGAGTGAAGAGTACCAGGCTCTGGGCAGGTGTTGGCGGCATCTGTGCCAGTCTGGGGTCCTGGACCCTGGGCGAGGCCGGGCCGTGCACAC